CCTCTTGGATTAAGAGTCCAACCTTTCCTTTCTGTTGCTAGTATTGAGCTAGAAAACATATCTCCTTCCCGCCTTCAAAAAATCCGAAACTAATGAATTACAATATAGACAAGGATATAAAGGATATAATCAATTAAAAACTCAATATAATACATACAAATCCTTATCTACAGATGAGTCCAAGGAAGCTGTCTCACAAGGCAGTATTTCGTCTGTCACTTTATTTAGCATTAAAATCAACGGTTTAGCAAGAGTTTTAAATGCTTTAATTGATGGGTCACATTTCGTGGATGATTTTAACATTTCTTGTCATGAGAAAAATATGCATACTATTGAAAGGCAGCTGCACCTTTGTTTAAACAAGATTAATAACTGGTGTTTGGAAAATGGATATGGATTTAAATTTTCAAAATCCAAAACTAATTGTATTATTTTTGTTGCAAATACAAACATCTACACGACTCAGACTTATATTCAGATAATACACTTATTAAAGTAGTAAAAAAAAGAACCAAATTCCTGGGTTAAATTTTCGATGATCACTTGACCTTTCGACCTCATGTTAAATATTTAAAAAATAAATGCCTGAAGGCCCTTGATTTGCTAAAAGTTGTCTCTAATACAAAGTGGGGAGGAGATCGGAAAACTGTACCGATGCTTATCCGCTTCAAATTGAAATACAGATCCATCATCTATGGTGGAGCCTGCAAAAGCAACCTTACAATTTTAGATTTTATCCATCATCAAAGCTCTGAGACTTTGTCTTGGATCTTTTGTACTTCTCCAATTGAAAATCAATATGTGGAGGCCTATGTGCCATCCTTAAATCATCGTCGTATCAAATTATCTTTTCAGTGTCACTCAACTTTTTTTCTTATCTGTCCAACCCTGCTCATAACTGTGTGTTTAATCCTCTTTATGAGGATCTGTACAGTAAAAAATCTTCTCTTATTCCACCTCTTGGAATGAGACTAAAACCGATTCTTTCTGCTTCTAACATTAACTTAAATATTACATCTCCTTCCTGCCTGTTGTCTTCTCCTCCTTGGCAGTTGGTGAGGCCATAAGTAGACCTAACACTGACCATATTAAAGGAATCTGAAACGAATGAATTACAATACAGACAAGAATATAATCAGTTAAGAGATACATATAAAACGTTCAAATCGTTATTTACAGATGGATCCAAGGATGGTGGCGCGGTTGCTTGTGCCACTGTCATTTGATCCAGAACAATATCTTCCCGATTACCTGATAACAACTCTATCTTTACAGTGGAAGCAAATGCCATAGTAACAGCCTCAAAATATATAAATAGACACCCAAAATATAAACAATATATAATCTTTTCAGACTCTCTTTCTTGCCTTCGGGCTATTAAAAATCTTTCTTGCAAACATCCACTTTTAATAGAAATTATTGAATTATATAATGACCTTGCCACTGGCCAATGCGACATTGTCTTTTGTTAGATACCCAGCCACGTTGGAATTTCTGGGAATACAATGGCCGATCTTTTGCTGCTAAAAAAATTACATGCAACTCAATTGGTTTAATCTTGGGGTTGTCACCATTTCTTATTCCATACTCTGATTGGCACAAGCTAGCATTAGAAACTACATCCTTTTGATGATCTGATGCAGAAGAAGTGGGACACCCAAGTTGGTATATAACAGAACTTACATGCAATAATAAACCTATATTGGTTACACCTACTTGGGTTGTCAGTCCAGATTTGAAGAGGTCATCCTACGGCGATGTCGTATTGGCCTCACAAGATATACTCATGAATACCTTTTGAAGGTGAGGACCCTCTAACAGTTTAATTAGGGACCATGCAGGAAGCAAATGTCCCCATGGTCACTAGTATTGTGACGACCTTCAGTTGTTGCGATCTGTTGCCTGTTTTTTATATTGTATTCTCGTGTAAATGTGAAATGCCAGTGTGACGATAAATTTTAACTCATTCTATGCTAACAATTAATTGTGATATGTGAGTGTGCATAGACATACGTCACAATGTATGGAACGTCACACATCATAACATCCCTCCCTCCCCGAGGTTATAGCCAATCTTAGTTATATACAAGCACTTCCACGTTTGTACGAGATGTCTGTTTACAACAGATATGTGTATTGATGCATATCTTAAAATAGACCCACATAAAAAACTTACATTATTTAGAAGATGCTTCATATCTGACATAGATGTCTATATGGCGTTCCTGATGGCCTGCAGGCAAGAAAGAGAATCTGAAAATAGTAGGTATTGCTTATAATTAGATTGATACATTCAAGTGCAGACAAATTTGGAGTTTGCATCGGCTGTAAAGATGGAGCTGCCGTTTGGCAACCTAGAAGAAACTGTTTTGGATCCAGTCACAGTGGCACTAGCACCTGCGCCACAATCCTTGGATAGATTTATAAGTATCCTGAGTGTTTCTTAATTTATTACATTGTTGTTGATAAATAAGTTGGTTAGTTTCTAATTTCATTAGATTTGTTAATGTGAGATCTACCTGTGGTCTCACCAATATGCCAAGGAGGAGTAGAAAGTAGGAGGAAAGAAGATAAGTTTGATATTAGCGGCAGATATATAAGCACATTTCGTATTCCAAGGGTTGAGTAAGAGTAGACTCTTTATGTTATAGATATCCATAAAGGGGATTAACTGATTCACAGACACATGCAGATGTTATTATGGGAGTCACCATCACCTCAAGGTCCTTTACACTTTGTAGACATAGCAATACCAGCGAATACGACCTCTTCAAGGGAGAACTGGATAGAATGTAAACACCATATACCATGTTCAGTCTGCAAACCCAGCCTCTGTACACTCAGCACAAAAAGGGTACGTGGTTGGATAAAGTCATGTGACTATAACCTTCTAGCGCCTAACAGGCAGCTTGGGTTATCTGGGGTAATAATAATAATCAGATTCTGATTACAGCGTCCAGTGAGCAACTAGTCACATTGGTGCTATATAAATGAACTATTATGTTTTACACAGTAAGATGAAAATGCAGCAGAGAGGGTTCGGGTGATGCTGGCAGAGCTAGGCTGGTAAGGCTCAGGGCCCTTGCCCCTTCTACACGCAGCCCAGACAGCGAGTGAGACTTCTCCAAGGAAACGCTGCCTTGCTGAACCCACCAAGAACATTCCGGAGAAAATGTAGACTCCCCAACACTGCAACTTTCTGCATTACCCAGAGTGTCCGAAGGGCTGTGCTCCCAGTGGACAATCCAGGCACTATCCTGATCTCTTGACTCTCCTGATCTGCGCAAAGATATCAGGAGGTACTAAACCAAGGGCACCAAGAACAATGGGGAGCCTGACGACAGTGTACTTGGGATGCAAGCGAGACATTTCAAAGGCGAGGTCCGCATATTTAGCATGCTTTTCCTGAATCTTGCCAATCACATTACTGGCAAAAAGGGATAGAAAATTCAATGATATATAAATAAATTCATGGGCCTCATCAAAAAGGACAATATGAAATTTGTTGGCTGGAATTCTTCTAAGGCTCTATATAGGACTATACCACAAAACATTGAAAGCATCATTTTCCATGACGCCGTGGACATGTTCAGGGTCGTACCATGGATGTACCTTGGAGTCAAATCCACAGGCATGGCGAAGACGATAGTAAAAGGAGTGAGCCTTGCCATCATGTCGTTTAAGATATGCTGTTTGTACCAAGGAAGGCCATTCATTACACAGTCGGCATTTCATGATAATATTTTCTTTAGGAATCACATTTTGGCGATTACGAGTGGGAAGTGACTGGTCCTGAGCAGCGAAAAGCCATCAGTTTTACATCTGAGACCAGCCGACTTCATCCAGGCGTTGGAGTCGGTTGGATTACTATTCTGTTCCACACACTGCATGTATACACGATGGAATGGTTTCTCAGGAAGCTTCTCCACAAATGACCGGCTCTGGGCAGACTTGGTGAAGGTCTTCACCAAGTTTACTCCCATTGCTGTACCGTCAAGCAGTACATTTCCATCAACAAACTCAACCTCGAATTTCAGATTCTGTCCAACAACCTTAGCACGCTTAAAATAGCTGTGGAATTCCTTGCTTTCACCATGAGTCTTCACATGCATCACCAGAGGATCATCCGATTAATTAATTAATCCGATACATTAATCAAACCCCGACCTCCAGAATTGATTGGCATGTATAAACGGTTAAGAGAGGAACGAGGGTGGTGGGCTCTGTTATCAGACATGATCCTTCTGGTCAGGCGGTCAAGACTCTGGATGTCTTGTTTCGTCCAATCAACTACTCCAAAGGAATAGGAAAGGACTGGCACAACACAAATATTGGTGGCTTTGACCTTGTTTCGAGCATTTAGCTCTGAATTCCAGATTTTCTTTAAACACTATTTATACTCGGCCCGAAGTTTTTCTTGAATTTGGGCATTCTGGAGCTTGTCTAGAACTTGCATTCCAAGATAGGTGTAGGCCTGAGCTTCCACAAGATGCTCAATAACTCCTCCCTCCTGTAACTTAATCGAATCCATCATTAATAACCTTGCCACGTTTCACATGAAGAGTATTACATTTGCCGAGACCAAATGTCATGCCAATATCATTAGAAAAGGAATCGAGAAGGAGAACCTGTTCTTTCAAATTGGCATCTCCTCTGGCAAGGAGCTCGATGTCATCCCTCCTTGCAGGAAGCAAATGTATTGTAAGTTCCCATGGCCCCTAGTATGGTGATCTACCTTCAGTTGTTGGCAATATGTGGTATGTTTTTATATTGTATTGTCTTCTGAAATTAAGCTGTTTTAGATTTACATACTAGTTTTATATTCATATCTGTGATGTTCTTGTTGGTTTTACTGTCCCTCGTGTACAGGTTTTTTAATACATTTACCTATGTGTATTCTAGAATTATTACTTGTTTTTATTCACGATATGGCTGAAATATTGCCGATGTGACTTTAAATTTTAACTCATTCACTCACTCGATGTCATCCATGTATTATTATATTAAAACAAACATATTTGAAGGAGAATCTGGAGAGTCTGACTGTTTCTGCGGTCGGTATGCCATGACAGGACGATGTGAAATGAACGCCAACATCCGGGAAATTATCTGCCCTTACACCTGCTCCCTCAGAGCCAGTGAGTAGCCTTCGGTTTCCCTTAATTGAGATCTTGCAACATACATTGTAGATTATGCAGGTGTATATTATACTAGTTAAATTATATCCCCAGTAAATCTGTATGGCGAAACTTGCCCTTTTTTGTTTATTGACTCTTTGTATGCAGTACATTTCCAGTTTGTTATATTGTACAACAGAGGACACTGGTTCAGCGGTTTTGGGCTTCAAATGCAATATCAGTGCCCCAAAACGTTTCTAAACCAGGGAGTGAAATGTTGCATAGTGTCTCGAACATTAAACTCAGTCAATGCCAACCTATCCCTCACACATACTTTACTCTCATCATACTCATAATCATACGATGGGGTTCTGGGATACACCATTGAGGGGCAATTTGGAAGAAATTGCCATACCTGATCTCATCACACCCTACACCTTTATTCGCACAGAAATATGACTTGCTAGACTCCATGCTCCTCTATACTCCTTTCTCACGCGTCGGCCATTACTTGCGAAAACGAAGCTCGGTATACACAATGTTTACTGGTATTTCCGCCCCGTGGATCCATCGTCTGCTAGAGAAATGTCATCTTACGGCACGTCACTGCCACAGTGGACAAGAAGTCTGAAATCTCTACCAGCTGTCGAATATTCCGACATTGAAGCATGGACGACGAACTGCTGCATTCCAACAGCTATCCACAAGAAAGCTTACAGCAATTTTGTTGAATCTTACATTCACGATGTTGAAGGTAAACACTGTGAGAGAATTTTTGACATTTCATGTTTGGTGTACTCGTAACAATAGTAATATGCCTGTTTGAAGTGCAAGTACCGTGTTTTTTTTCATCATTTCTGCGAAACCGATGTGGAATATTACATATTGATTATACATAAGGATATACTTTGAAAGGCCTAATTATGATAAACAATATTTACATGGATAAATGCAGTTCAAATTATTATGTCAGATTCAATTCATGTGACAACAGCTTGATGACATATCACCTTTCATTTTTCTTATATATTGTTAAATATCCCGAATATATACATTTAATGAAACATCTTCTTTACAGGAAATTATCATAATTTGTGATTTTTCATGAAACACATCATTTATCTTAGAGCCATGGTAAGAGTGATATGAGAGGTAGCCCACTACATATATACATGTATTATACTGAACCAAATTTGTTATGTTCCCTCGACAGGGCAGGTAGCCCGGCATGCGGAAGCCATGCTCAGTTTTTTTATTGATGATGGTACAAAAAATTAATTAAACTCTCTGAACAGTTATGTTCCATCAACTGAGCAGGTAACCAGGCACGCGGAAGCTATGCTCAATTTTTTCATTTATCATATAAAATATCTACACTTAAATACCTAAACCGAACAATCAGTTTTACTCAGGCTGTGGTAAATTCATCAAGATGTTAAGATGATTATCCAGTGATTCAAAAAGCTATGTAATTTTCACTTGACAAATTTTTTTTTTAGATTTATTAACCAACTCTCTTTATTAATTGCAGTGCGGACAGCATGTGATGGAAGCTTCATTAGAGCCAAGTGTTTGAAATCAATGAAGAAGAATGATTTCCCTCATACACTGAATATTAAGATTACCCAGCATGAAGATTGTGATGGTATTACTATTAGTAACTGTTCATGTTCATGTAAGGCTGGTGCAGGGGACTGCAACCACATACATGGTTTGTTATATCTTCTTCACCATTACACAATATGTCCGGATTCACGACTCTCCCCTCAATAATCAGCAAAACATCTTTACATCAAGCCTGGCATGTTCCAAGAACTAAAGGAATTGTGCCGAAGAAAATAAGTGACATAAAGATAAAAAAAGTTAAATTTCCAACATCAAAACCAGCCAACGTGAGAAGAATTCAAGCAGTACATTCCACATTTTATAATCCTATAATGTCACAATTACCATGTCAAGAATTTACTTCAACACTTTCTCAAAATTTGGAAAATGTGAACTCATCAGCTCAAATTAGATCATGTTTACCATCTGCAGAGATACAAATGGTTGACAGTGAACTTGGTCCAGTTCCTAAGGGATGTTTTCTGTAATACCAACCTCCTGTAGAAATTAACATGGAATCTGACATTATTTCCAATCATCCACACATTAAGGATGCTCCTACGTTCACATTGCCAGATGTTGTATGAAATATATCAACAGTTTTGACACATGGTCAGCAAGATGTTTTTGATGGATTGAACATTTCAAAGGAAGATTCAGTTGAAATAGAAGTTGGAATCTGACAGTGACATGTGGCATGATTTGCACTCAGATAAATTGACATCTTCAAATTTCAAACCTGTTTATTCCAGAAAAGGTGACTTTCACAAGCTTACTGACAGACTTTGTCCGAAGAAAGTGTCAAACGAAGAGGAAAAATATTGTGACAGATGCTATGAAGTATGGAATTGAACAAGAGCAAACTGCAGCAAAGTGTAATGCTGAAAGGACTAACAATAATGTTTTCAAATGTGGTTTTGTTATAAATCCAAGTTGCCCCAATTTAGGCACATCACCAGACCGTAGAGTCTATGATCCGACATCCCATCCAACATTTGGTTTGCTTGAAATAAAATGTCCATCAAGTGTTGACTCTATCACAGAACTGAAGTACTTACATCTGGTGAATGGAGTGTACAAACTCAGATTATCAGACAAATATTACTGTCAAGTCATGGGACAGATGGCACTAACTGGTTCTAAGTGGTGTGACTTTTTTGTCATGTTTAAAAGTGACTTTCATCTGAGAGAATGTGGGAAATGGGAAGATATCAAAATAACATTAGACATTTTCTACTTCAGTCATTACCTGCCACATCTTTGCAATTGTAAGTGATCTTGTGTGTGTCTATCTACAGATGACATGAATACAGACCAGAGTTGGCATTTTATCAATAATTTTATTGTTTACATGACATGTATCTCCTCTCCATGGGATTTGAAATCATCAAAATATATGACTATTGAAAACGATAAAAGAAAATATTAAAGAAAGTGCAGTATTTAAAAACAAATGTTTCAAGTTTATTCAATGCTGTTCATGGGTTTGCAGTGAAAAATGTGTTGTGATGAGAAAGTGTTTCATAAGCACAACACTGGTTTAACAAGTACAAAAAGGACAAAGTATGCATAATATACTGAGTCAAAAATATACTTCACAAAATGTAATTTGAAAAGTAATGAATAATTTTACTCTGATGATACATCTATGTATCCGAAATGGGATCCCTATCTTTAGACTCTAGAAAAACGTTAGCAAAACCCACTCAAACTCATCCATTCGTCGTGCAAATGATGTTAGTGCCAAATCAGGTTTTGCACGTGCAGTCGATCACATGATCTTCGCATCGAAGTTTTCCTCATATGCACGTGTTTGCATTGGCCTCAAGAATTGAAAAAACACTTTTAAACCACATTTCTAACGGTACTTGAAATGCCACGATTGTCAAATGTGCAACGTGAACGTGCCGTTGGCATGTTGCAAGCGGGAAGATCAGTTATTGACGTCGCAAGAGCAATGGGATGCAGCTGTCGTACTGTGTATGACTTGTGAGGTCGTCTACAACAAACTGACACCACTTCTGATCTCCCAAGGTCGGGTCGTCCACGTGTGACGTCACGAGCAGAAGACCGTCAAATCGTCCTACGTCACAGATTTCTGCTGGCTACACGAACCAGGGCTGAGATGTTTAGAGGTCGACTGTCCTCACAGACCATTCGAAATCGGTTGCGGGCTGCCAATCTCCATTCTCGACGTCCATATCGTGGGCCAATATTGACGCCGTTTCCTCAACGTCAACGTCTGCTGTGGGCCAAACGTCACCTCCGGTGGACCCAGAGACTGGAATCGAGTCGTCTTTAGCGATGAATCCAGGTTTACCCTCAGATTCGCGGACGGCAGGCATAGAGTCTGGAGACGACGTCGTGAACGGTATGCCCACTGTTGTGTACAGGAAGTCGACAGATTCGGGGCGGAAGTTGCATGGTGTGGGGTGCTTTCTGTGGGAACAACCGTTCCCGACTTCTGGTCATCCGTGGAAACCTCACAGCTGCTGCTTACCGCGACCAGGTGCTCACCCCTGAACTCGTTCCTTTCATTCCGGCTCATAGCCCAGGTCTACAGTTCCAGCATGATAATGCTCGGCCGCATACCTTGATGTTGCCACGAAATTTCCTTCAAAACGCTGGAATCAACGTCATGGACTGGCCATCGAGGTCCCCTGGCCTTAATCCAATAGAGCACGTTTGGGATGCACTTGGGAGAAGGCTTCGTGGTCTTAGGAACCAACCTCAGAATTTGCAGGAAATTGGCGCTGCCTTGCAAGAGCAATGGCGGAGAATCCCCAACCACGTGTTCACAAGCATCAGGCAGTCGATGAGGAGACGGTGTTTGGCAGTGGTGAATGCGCGGGGCGGCCATACACGATATTCATCTGAGAAATTTCGCATTTTTATTCTTGTGACTTGACATTCTGTATACCCATCTTTGGAACGGCGGTGTAGCCTAATGGAACTGATTATGGCACTGTCAGTGTATCGAGTACATCACACAGATCTCAGCAATGAAATAATAACAATTTAACCATCTTACCATCTCTTGTTCTTTTATAGTGCCCTGAAGAAAGAATGTGAAGTTTCTTTTTGACTCAGTGTATTATTGTCATTACTATATTCCTTATATTCAGTGAATACATTATTCATTATAATATAAAAGTATTAATATTGTGAGAAATATGTCATACAATGGTGCATAATTATGCTTCACATTACAAAAAAGAAAGTTTGTTATGATTATATTGCTGCAGGATATCTCAAGTATTGATTCTTATAAACTCATTTATGTACTATGATAAGTACAAATTCTTAATGATTCATAGGCCAACAGGGTAGGTGTTTGTGCCGATGAAACTGCACTGGGGCCTATGTTCTGACTTAAATTAAATTTCTACCATTGAAATTGTCGTTGATTGGTGCAG